CAACAGAGAGCACCCACCAGACTTTCCTGCTGAATTCACAAGGAAGCATGGGAGTGATTGCCAAGCAGTATCTCTGAGCAGGTCTGCACAAGACATCTTCAGGCAGTTTTCTGTCCCCCTTGCTGCAGTGTGGTATACAATGCTGGATCATCACAGGCAAATAAGTTATAAAATATTTTCAAAATGACGTGACAGTGCTTCTATAATACTGACAAATGGGGAAAGTTAGCAGTGTTGAGCAGGTTCCAGGCCATTGCCTGCAGGAATTTACTTTTGCCACACTTCAGGAGGCAACAGAAGCAAAGCGAGAGCCAGAAGTAAGCAGAGATGGTTCTTGAGCAGCAGATTCATGCTAATACCTGGTACACAACTCTTTTATATTTGAGTAGTACTTTGAATCCTACAGTACCTTTATTTTGCCAAATAGTCACAGAATCACAATGATTTTCCCCTCCAAACTGGACCAGTATTTCAGTAGGAAAGTACCAGGTTCCAAATATGGGTAGCTCTCTCCTGTACAGCAACAGGCACCAAAACTTCTGTGTTTCTGCATGCCTTTTGTGTAAAAAGTGCTGTATACCATGTATCAAAAATCATAATTTGAATGCATTCAAAAAAATTAGCATGGATGAAGTGGGACATGCTTTCATTTTTGACCTCTCATGTATAGAAAATGCATTTTAAAAAGAAGTCACTGTCACAGTTCGCCCTTCAGATCCCATCTGCCAATGCATACAGTCGGTGCTTGTCTTTACTGAAAAAAAAGGGTGCCTATGTTGCACATTGATGTTTTCCTTTGGTCCAGAGAGCATCAATAATGGTTCAGACCCCTGGCATTTTGGGTTTTTTGGAACTGGGTAACCTCCTGGCTACATCCAATGGACTCTGGGGTTAATACGTTTATAAATATATTTATAAAGAGATGTTTTAATGAACAGAGGTAGGTATAAACCATGCATAAAGGAAAAAGAGTACTTCAATAAGTTTTGATGATAATAACCTTTCTAAAATAGGTATTTAATCCTAATTATGCTTAAACAGAGATCTACTTTCTCTCTGTTAAGTAAAAATGTAAATTTGATACATACGTCCAGAGGTTGTATTATCCTTTTGATAAAGACTTCTGTGTAAATCAGTTGGGAAATTTAGGAGAGACATTGGATTAGCTGCATTATGGAAAGCTAACACTGCTGGTAGCTTAGACATGCTCTCCATTCCTTCAAGAAGCAGTTATCTTTAAGACAAGTTAGTGAAAGTTTGTATACTAGTATCTATATTCCAATTCAATTATATGAGTCATCTCCACAGGTTAAACAGAAGATGCAGGTACTCCAGCCTGTTTTGCAATTCAGATCATTTGTATGCATTGGGTAATGTGATTTATAACCATATTTGCACTTTGAAATAAAAAAGGGACTCAGGAAAGAGATACTAACACCTCTTTAATGCTTTATTTTTCATGCCAAACCCGCTTGACCTGTGCAATACCAGGTTCTTTACCTGTACAAATAAATTTAAGGCTTAATCCTTAATAACACATACTGTAAGCATTCAAGAGCCGCTAAAGTTATCAAATTAATATTGGTGGAAGAAAAACAATAGCCTACCTCAGCAGCAACAACAAAAATAAACCACCTGCTTTAATTTAAGTATTCTCAGGAGCGGAGGCATTTTATTAAGTGAAAAAAATCAAGGAAAAAAGCTTTTGAAAACAAACCAATACATTATCTTGAATTATATTTATAAAATAGTTAGCTGTCTCCTAGAATGAAAAAAATACAATATTTTGATTAGACATGCTTATAAATCAGTGTCAAAACATTTACTGAAGCTTGTGGTAAATGTTATTTATAGCAACACTGAGGAAACAATTGTTGGTATATTAATTTTTTTCATTAATACTGAAATGCTCCAAAATCGTATTTAAATCAGAAATGCATATATTTCCTAGGCATATATATGTAAATAGTGTTCCAAATCCAGGCAATATCCCTGTATTTTGGTTTGCACTTTTTAAAATTTACTTATTTTCTTTCTAGAATTTATTTATTTTGGGATGCAGCTTAGACAATACAGCAACATTTTAAGGCTGCTACCTGATTGTATGTTGGCAGTCTGGCATTTCATTCTGTATTCTTTTAATTAGATTAGCAGATTGTTATTGTACCTAATTAGAGTTTAAAATAAATTTATAAAGTAAAATCTAAGAAGCTGGGCAAGAAGTGAAATTACTGGAGTTGAGTTAGAATCCAAGTATTTACTTTTGAAAAAGACTTTAAAACACTGCAAGCATTTTTCTTCATCCATGCATATATGCTTCCTGAACATATATAGACTTTTCCATAATGCAACATGGTCATTTCCTTTTAAATTTGAAACTGTTATTCCATCACTGGGACTACTCCTTTGAAATTTAACTTTTAAATTAACTATAAAAGCTCATAAAAGAAAGCATCGTATATGCACCTAGTCAAGATCGTGGATTTTCCCCAAATGAGTCCCGTAAATAATACCTTTTTCTAATGTTGATACAGCAGAATACTGTGCAAATATATGTGATATAAATTATACACGTAATGAATATTAGGTGCAACATATGTTTTTTAATATACTTTGTGCATATGAGGTACTGCAATACAGGCCATTATAATGCCTGAGTGTCTGAGAAGTTTACGAAAGTTTTTCATATTACTATTACTATATTCTACATAGTTTGATTGCAAAACTGTGAGATGCTTAACCTCTGCATTCAATTTTGCTGAAAAGAAATAAAAACCAGAACACATAAAAGCTGTTTATCTACAAAAGTGTTTTCACTGGCAAAAATCCCCCAAACCTTTTCATTCGGTAATTGTGTCTTACATCTCTCTTAGTGAAATAACCTGTATTTTATTTGTGACCTACAGAAAACCCATTCTGTAATTAAATATCAAACAACTTTATATGTGATGTTTTGGCTTCCAAAAAAATTTATGAAATATCACAGAGATCAAGTGTTTGCTTTCAAACAACTATGACCTGTTTTGAATACTCATAACCTGTTTACTTTTAAACTAACTATACAATGCCTGTTTTGTATTAACATCCGAACCATTACTAACCGACATATTTGCTGCACACTCTTAATCTATTTGGTAAAGCAAGTATTAAGTTCTAACTAACTCTGTAATGAGAAAACAGTATTTTGAGTACTAGGGAACACTTAGGGGGAAAAAAATCCTGACAGAGATGTAGCATTTATAAAGCGATGGATAATTATTTTCAAAACAGTGATTAATAAGCGTCCATTTTCATGTCATCATTGGTAATAGATGCAATCTTAGTCAGGCACCCCGCCATTCTGTTTAATACAAGTGTATCCTAGTGTAAAAAGGAGCTTGTCATACTTATCTCTAATGGTGAATGATTTCTTTCCCTTTTCCTGAAGACACTTTGCACCCAATATTCTCAAATCCTATAATGCTATAGGCTGACACATAAGCTGACAACAATGCAGGTAGAAGGCTACGTTTATGTGTAGGTGTATGCTCTCTAGAAGATAAGTAGAAGATAATTGGATGGTTTTTTGCTTGTAAATCAGACAAAATACCCATATGAAGAGATCTTGTTAGAGGAACAGAGGCAAAATTTTTACATTTCAGTAAGAAATCATGAACTGAGAGAATGACATAGTGCAAAGAATCATTGCATTGTCAGAAAGTGTGTGTGTGGGGAATTAAGCATTGTTTTATTATTACTTGTTTCTGCTGGAATTCTTCAAAATGCATAGAAGAAAGGATCTGTTGTAGTGCATACCTGCAACTTCTGCTGGTTTTCACATGTTTCTGTACTTTCTACGTTTAATTCTATTTTCAAGCAACTGTACTGCATAAACTGGACAATTTATCCTGATTCATGGTTTAGGAGGAGCAGCTGATTAATCCCATGTCAACAGTCTTGACACTATGCAGAAAACAGAAACATAGAAGACCTGCTTAACAATATATCAAGGGTGCAGTTGCTTATTTTCTCTGATTTGTAAAATCTATAAATCACCCACAAATGCAGAGTAAGTTAGGACAGTACAGTTCAGCCATTACTACTTTTGTCCTCTTTTTCTCCTTACACAGGAAATGTAATGTTTCCTTTAAATAATTTTGTGTAAAACGACCAGCATACCGTCACATTTTTTCTGTATGCTATCAGCATATAAAAAAATCTCATTTGTATTTGTTGGTTTAGGCTCATGTTTTCATGAACAGGGAGATCTCCACAGCATAGTAGTCCTTTAAAGTTGAGACACCACAATTCCTTTCATAAAATGCTTAAACGTCACAGTTCAGCACTGTGAGTACTGACTCATGTGAGTAGGCTTTACTCTTACGAGGTGATCTATTAGCTTAATTCAGACAATTTACCCTAATAAGAGCTTGCAGAATTGGGTCCTTCTAGCAAGATTACTTTTGGTTTTGTTTTTTTGTTTGTTTTTCATTTAGGGTGCAATGTTTATAGGATATTCTTTTCATTGTTTAATATTCTAAAGGTTTCCAATTCTGCCATAATGTGTGTAAAAAAATTGCTCTCACTTAAGTATAAACATAGAGTATCTGGTTTGCATTATTCTGCTTGAAATTGCTAGTTAAACTGGATGAAATAAAACATACTTAACAGCCTTTTAAAATGTGATCATGGGAAAGAGAGATGAGAATGCACTCATTTTTATTTCCAGTAGTGGAGCACAGTGACTCGCCCAAGCTAGTCTGGAAATACTAATGAAATTTTAAATTTTAAGGTGTGGATTTCTATATGGCAGCTCCAGAAAAGAATGTGTCCTTTATTACTGTAAGGCATACACTCCTAAGTAAAGCAAAGCAAAACAGCCAAAAATGTACATAACATAACCAAATAAAGCCAAAATCTGTGAAAATCTTCTCATGTAAACTGCATAATAGCACTTCAAATGGCCCCTTTCTGTCATCCACTGTAACCATCACATTCTCATTTCTGCTGCAGTCAGGTGAACTGTCAAAGAGCTATTACGGTTGGCTGCATAGAATTCCGAGGAAAGACAAATCTGTGCAATTTTCTCCTTGGAGAAAAAATGGTTCTTTTGGTGCTTTTAGGTTTTCCTGAACTATTTTGGTAAAGAAAAAAATTAATTAGTTTTTAATTCTTTTCTTTATTTTTTATATGTATACGATAATACTAGGGGCTTTATCTGGGCTGAAACCTTTACTATGAATGTGTAGCTCTCTGATGGATGCACATTAGCATTCCAGTATGTGGGTAAGATTGATATTTTTTTTCTTTTTCTGATACATAATATAGCTTCAAGTAGATGCTTAAGATGGTATGATGGCATGTTATATTTTAGTGTGAGTTTTTGCACTATTAAAAGGTTGGGTACAAACTGAGTGGAACAACGAAATATATACACAAATGCAAAAATCATCCAATCTGTTATTCAAAACTAATAACAACCCTAAAATATTAGATGCATTTAGTTTTTCATGCGTGTTTAAAATACGGCATGCTCAGAAGTGAATACATTATTGTGCTGTGTAATACCGCATCTTCTGATAAGCCTTATCTCATAAATAAAAAAGACATATAAATGATGTGCTTCTGAAAGGTTTTTCTTCAGAGGCAAGTATTTTGTCCAATCTGCTGAGGTATGTCGTATAAACAAAATGGGAGTTTGATTATGTCTTTCATATAGTTAATAAACACGTGGTTGTCAGAAACCACAATGAGGTTTCTTGCTGGTTGTTTTCATCTTCTATAAAAAATTAAGGTGTTTCAGAACTGACCTTTGCTCTGTTGAGTCATCTCCCTTTTTTCAGTTCAATTTGCCTTACTGATCAGTAGTATAAGGCAGAATTTTTATATCCTTAGAAAGAAGGTAAAAGACAACTTGTTCCTTCAATTTTTAAGTTGGAATTTTTGTTTCTTATGTACATGATTTTGTTAAAATTTGAGACTTTTCAAACTGAAAAAGACAGCTCTGGATTTTAATTATAACTCTTTTGCTTCACCACTGAATTTCCTCATAGCAATTTCCTGGTTTGCTGCTTTTCTATGTAGGAGTTGTTAAATAAGACATTCTTTATATTTAATTCAGTACTATATTAGAGTAGAAATCGAGTTGCATTCACTGTTTTTACTCTTATAAGAAATAGGATTTTAATTTGGTATATCTTTCCATAAATAGCTTTGTTTACTGTATTCCACATATGTATAACTGCACCTCCCTGAAGAACATAAAGGGCGTCGTCCCACAAATAAGTTTAACACACAGAAGGAATGGTTCCTGCCCGAGTGTTTACATTTATGGTAGAAACTTCCATATGGAAGCACTGAAAAATAAACCAACATGATGCGGATAAGTCAGAGACAACCCAGCCCTTAGCCACAGAGCTCGCTTCTGCTGTTTTCAATAGACGATGTTATGGGAGAAGAGCTTTTCTGTGTGCTAATCTGATGATTCTTCTTGCCTTTTTTTTCCACTATATCCCCTATTTTTTGTTTGTTTGTTTGTTTGTTTGTTTTTTTAAGATAGTACAGTTTGGAAGTGCTGTTTGCAAGCTTACTTGCTTCTGCATTTTGTTTATAAGCAGAATATCATTCATTTCTGCATATCTGCTAGACTGGACAAATCAAGGTGACAATCCATGTTTAACTCTGTCAGGCCCTTTGTCCTGCTGCTTCTGTGGATTGAAATACAATGGAAACAAAGTGGAATACATAACAGTCCAGCTGCCTTGTGACAGGGCAGCCCCACGTTACAGTGCCTTAGCCCCTGTTTGCTTATCGATAGCCAGTTCATGAGATGACAATGCAAATCCTGTGAAAGCTCTCCTGCAAAGTAAAAAAATCATGTGAAGAAGGGGGGAAAAAAAAATAATCAGACTTGCCTTGAAAAACAGAAACTCATAAAAGGCTCTGTTCCTGGTGCAGTTACTACATTCAGATGTAGGGCCTGTCTTTTTAACCGTGGCATGCTTCTAAGGGATGCAGGTAGGCTCGTGCATTTAAATTTATCATATGGTGTCTGCTTACAGGGCTCTGCATTGATGTTACTTTTAAGGAAGTTTATATTTCATTTAAGCATGCAATTAATCATCTCTACAGTGTTGATATGACTGGCATCAGCAGTGTTATTTAATTAAATTTGAAATTATTGTACAGTAAATACAGGCTTCCAACTAGCCAGTCCAAATTAAATGCTGAGGTCTATTTCTTACCCATGGTGTTTCCAATTTAAATGCTCATTCAAAAGGTTACACTTCACAGGTTGAAATCATTTTTATGTTCTAACTGTTGCTAAACCCAAAGATCAACTGTACGTGAGTCTTTTGCATCTATTAGCTGTAGGAATGTGTACACATTACCTATATTTCTCATATTCCATGTCATATTAGTGATTTTATGACTGATGCTCCTTAAACACCATTTTTCTCCCGATACTTTGTCTTTTCTGTCACGTCAGCCCAGAGCTGCTTTTGTAAAAAAAAAAAAAAAAAAAAAAGAAAAAAAAGTCTTTCCTCCATTTTGTTTCAGCCTGGTAATCAAGCAATTAGCCCACAAAATGGAGGTACGCCACTTTTCATCCTGCATCTTACTTCGGGTGGGCTTTACCTGCGTGCAAGCAGCAGGCAGAGCACTTTGCCGCTGAGCCTGTGAAATCGGCCCCTGAAGAGCGTTCGCACCATGGCCCATAAGTGGCCACCGCTTAGGGGGACTCTGGGAGGAGGGAGACCTTCCCGGTGGGATCACCAGAGAATTACGTATGGCACGTGCGCTACCTGCAAATTCTGCACCCTCTACATGAGAAAGCATGTGGCTGCGCTCCTCCTCCAGCTGTACTCACTCTCTAATTTTATAGAAACCTGAAAACATGTGGTGATCCAAACTTTAAATGGTGGGAACATCGCTGATTTTCACCTCATCTTTTCTTTCAAAACGGAAAGAAAAGGGAAAGAAGGATCAACCAAACCAAACCAACAACACCATTTGTTTTATGTTACAGCTTTCCACAGACAATTCACAACATGTCTAGCAAGGAATCAAACCAGAAATAGTGTCTCACTCCTATCATATATATAATACAGCTTTTGAATACTGGAAAATCTGTCATCCGTTAAGTGCAGCTCAGGTCTTCTGTGTGAAAAGCACAAGCTTTTTTTTTTTTTTTTAATGCAGTGCTGCCGTGTCTGCACTTTTTTGAAATTGCATATTTATCAGGTTATGAATTATTTATGAGTGGGGAAGGGAGGGGGAGGGCTGGAAGGGGAAAGAAGAGTGAGAAAACATATGCTTGGGCAGAGGAATACCTTAAATGAATCCACTACCAAGTCGTTTGAAGGATTACTTGTAATTACTTTTCCATTTTGTTTTGTTTCTCTCATGTTTCTCTTGGTCATCTGCTATTGTGTTGTCGATTGGGTTTGTTTGGTTTTTAGGAAGCACGAAGGGATTGGGGGTAGTGTTTGCTACGAGTTGGATTTTGCCGCGGAAATGAATTGAGCATTTCTTTGACTTCTAAAGTACAGGGTGTTTAATAAATATTAATCCTTCAACTGTCAGACTAAATTATTGTCAAAAAGAGGCTGACAGATTGAGTATTAATGACGTGTTTTATAAATTAGAAATGAAATATCGGTGGAACGTCCAAAGCAGGGATCAAGAACAGACCTGATTTGTACCTTAGACCAGTTGAACATCCCATCTGTGTCAGACTTATGCAGAAAACAAAAACAACCCTCTTTCCCTCCTGCAAACACACCTTCTGCTCTTCATGCACCAGGATCTGACATCTAGATCCTTTCTGCTTTAGGATCTGCGTGCACCGAAACAGCAAATTTGCCTCAGACACCAGATAATTTGATTAGACAGAGGCAGATCCATATCCTTTTTTTACAGTTTTGTTAGAGGAAAATGGGGGGAGGTGGAGTAATTTCTGTTCAAACATCTCGATGTCGTATTTTCCCACTATGAAAAATGCGACATCACAGAAAGCTGAAGACATGGCATTATAATGGTAAATTGTAAAAATGGTAGCTGCCTCTTCAAAAACATACAGAATTTCCAGTATAAATTATGTATTAAAGGAAATATGTTTGCATAAACCAAGTAGCAGTAAGTTAATATAAGTTGACAGGATTTTTAGGGGAGGCTAATATGTGTCAAAAAATATCGTGTATAGTCTTTAATCAAACTCATGATCCTCAGTTGAATTATTGCTTGTAAAGCTGATTTTACTGTATTTTCTAATTTATTAAATGTAAATCTCTTTCTCTTTCTCCCCCTCTTTTTTTCCTTTTGTGATCATTAAGGGAAAATTAAGTTTAATTTGTGTAAGACCAGGGTTTTTTTTTGGGGTGGCTGAATCAAGCAGTCATTTGGGGTGCCGTTCTTTCTCTTGGCACAGAAGTATACAATATGAAACTGGGCTACCAGAGTGTATAAAAATGTTTAGCTTAATCACTCCCTAATGACAGCGACTTATGTCCTTAGTGCAGTCGATTTGTTTCCTGGGTTTTAAAAGTAGATTATTTCCATGGTGCAGGCTTAGTGTAAGCTGTTGAGAAACCACAAGCACTGCACTTCAGCCTGAGTTTGGGACGTTCGCCAAGGGTAATCTGATTAAAAGGGCATTTTTTACAACATTGTGGTGCTTTGAAAATTCTGTGCAGCCAGATAGAGTAGGGCCAAAAAAAAATTGCTTTTTCAAAGCTAACAGTTTTGCCTGAGCTGAATTAAAAGCATGATAAGCAGCATCACTGGAATGATTCTCTTCGACAGTCTTGCAACTGGATAAACAAAGCACCCTTAGTAACACATCTGTTACAGACCCACAAGCAAATTCATGATCTATTTAATACAAGGTTTTTGATTTTTTTCTTGCCTTTAATCACATTTACTTGCTGCATAGGTGTGTGGTTCTGAGGCCTTGCTTTATCTGAAATAACTAAAATGTTTCCCTTTTTCTACAGTAGCTTTGCTCTTCCATTACGTGACATTTAGAAATGTTCTGCTATGAAAGTGGTTATTTGTGATGTGCTCTAAGAACCAGTGTTGGGTACCATATTCCTGAGAAGTTTAATAGATGTATGTTGTTAAAAGATAATTATCCTACCTTGAATCTTGGATTTCTTATAACAGTTGGAATGTAATACTAATTAAATATGTCATGTTTGCACACATCAGAACATATTCAAAAGAACTGTTCTTGGATCATTTGCCTTATTGAACTACTTTCATATTCTTCTGCAGCACCTAAATAA